AGGCCACAGGTGTGGCCTAAATAAGGTAAGGGAGGGGGGTTTAGCTTATTTAGGCCACATGTGGCCTAAATAAGGTCACCCTATTTTTATTCAGCCTATTTAACTTTTTCCATGCACAAAGTTTCAGCTATTGTATCAAAGTGTTTCTTTTTACTCAAAGTAATGCCAGTTGTGTGCCATTTCTGTTATTTTACCGGATATTATATACTGCATAGGTGTGTCTCTTTACCCAAACTATACCAATTTTCTATTGCGTTTCCAGATATTATATACTGCTGGTTGTGATATGCTAAACCTGGAGGACTGGCTCCGCTGGAAAGGGCCTGGGGTCCCGCCGGAAATGCTGACCGGGGACGAGAACTTCCTGACCTGGTACAAGGCAGCGATGACCTCACCCCCCTCCTTGAGGAACTTGTGTCGGAAGGTGGTCCAGCGGAGGTTGGTGGCCTACGACTGCCCGGGCCTGGTCAAGTGTGTGGAGCAGCTGCCGGTGCCCCCGTCCCTCAAGGTGTACCTGTCGCGGAAGATGTTTCACCTGCCCATGTCTTAAAGGCTACCACTGGCTTAGACTTGGTTGTGATCTGTACAATCTTGTGGTTTTATCTCGACATTCTGGCGTTTTGTGCAACAATAGATTGACGAAGCTCTTTACTATTCTGCAAAATGGTAGTTTAAAGAAAATTTCCTTTCCCAGGTTGAAGTAAACTCAAGTTGCTTTGCTTAGTAGGAGATAGGTTTTTCGAACAGCTTTATTCAATTAACTTAAACATTTTTCTGCCTCCCACTCCTCTTGAGAGTACACTAGTTACTTGCTACTTATCACAGAGAAGTCACTTTTGCAGGGGGTGGGGGGAACCTCACAGCTTTATTTGTTCTATCCACTTGATGTTTTCCAAAGAAACAACAATTAAGCTGGATATTGTTGTATTGACACTGTTTGGCCATCAACTTTGCATTAATTCATTTGTTTAAAGCAGTATACAGCAGTTATGTTGATTTGATTTGCACTAATTGCACAGTTTTTGCAAGGCGGATGGAGGAAGATGTACTAATTTTTTTCTAGTAGTCTTCTTGGCAAAAAGTACTTTTATTCTTTTTGTGCATTGTAACATCAGTATTCATGAAAATATGTCTTAAAGATGGTGATGTTAAGGTTTAATTTTTTTTTTTTTTTTTGGTGGTTTACAGGATTCTGTAGTTTTTCAACTTGATACCACATTTAGAGGAGTTCCTCTGGTCTCTCCCTTCATAAGTTTGGTCATCATTGCAGTTTCTTTGCACCTTTTTGTCTTCATTCCACTATATAGTTTATGCTTCTGTCATGAAATTTACATGTAAAATTCAAACAGAATAACTGAGGACAATTTGCTTCTTCTTGTGCTGTTCAAAGTTACTTATTTCAGTAATTAAACTGTCTCTGAAGTAGAGATCATGTGGCAGTGCTCTCTTTTTATCTCCCACCACAAAGCATATTTTAAAACAGGTTATGTATTCGTTCTGTGAATTTTTAGATTTTGACCACAAAAAAAAAATTGTGATGAACTGCTGTAGTTACCGTGAAAAAGGAATGTGAATAGAGATACGATGATACAGTAAATGCTGTTTCCTGTTCGAAGACATTATTTTAAAATTTCCTAAGCCCAATGAACAGACTAAAGTTCTCTCTCTCTCTCTCTCCCCCCCTCCCCTCTCTCTTTCTCTCTCTCTCTCTCTCTCTCTCTCTCTCTCTCTCTCTCTCTCTCTCTCTCTCTCTCTCTCTCCCTCTCCCTCTCCTTCTCTCCCTCTCCCTCCCACTCCTCTTCCTCCCCCTCTCTCTCCCTCCCTCCCACTTCTGTGACCCAAAGCTCGCCCAGTGACGGACATTAGCGACAGTAGCACACCAGGTCCACTGACCACACACGCGTGGACAACTTCACAGCCATACACAAGTTTTGATAACAAGTCCGGTGTATAATGGCAGCTCCAGACGTCAGTGATAGAATGCCACACAGAACATTTGACGAATAATGGCATGCTGACATTCTATCTAGATGTTTATTCCTTTATATCACCGTCTTTATTACAGTTACAGAGCTGCTATACAGCTGGAGTTTACATTGTCATAAAGAGCTGTGATATTTTGTTCGGCTGCATTCTCTTACAGACTTATAATATTATAGCTGTAACATTATGTTAATTAATAACAGAGCTGTTATAAAGCTGTTTCATAATACTACAAAAATATTAATTACAGAGCTGTTATAAAGCTCTTTCATTATATTGTAAAAATATTAATTACAGAGCTGCTATAGAGCTGTTTTATAATATTGAACAATATTAATTGCAGAGCTGTTAGTACACATTTCTATAGCATTAATTACAGAGCTGTTAGTACACATTTCTATAGCATTAATTACAGAGCTGTTAGTACACATTTCCATAGAATTAATTACAGAGCTGTTAGTACACATTTCTATAGCATTAATTACAGAGCTGTTA